ATTTTTCTTAGGGAAAATTCCCGATATTTTTTGTTAGGGAACCTTTCAATATTCTTTAGATATTTTTTGGTTTTGTTAGGGATTTTTTTCATAATTTTCTTGTAACTTTCACGAAGTTTTCTTGTTAATGACTTTTTGGATATTTTTAGGGACATTTTCGATATTTTTTGGGTTTTTGTTAGGGACTTTTTTCATAGTTTTCTTGCAAATTTCACGAATTATTTGGTCCATGAATTTTCGATATTTTAAAGGACAATTTCCATATTTTTTTGTTTTTGTTTTTGTTCGGGACTTTTTTCATAGTTTTCTTGCAAATTTCACGAATTTTTTAGTCAATGAATTTTCGATATTTTTAAGGGCATTTTCCATATTTTTTGTTTTTGTTCGGGACTTTTTCATAGTTTTCTTGCAAATTTCATGAATTTTTTGGTCAATGACTTATTCGAACCTACTCTGACCTGATATTTAAAACCCGTTATTTTCTGATGTCAAAACAAACCGCGAAAAAATTCTTCTGCGTCTTATAAACAAAAGTAAGGTATTTAGTAGGGTCAAGTTTATTCAGACGTCGGGGGCTGCAAAAGTTTCTATAGAAGCTATTACTAGGTGTTTCAAAGGATGAAAGAAAAAACAAAAGGAAAGAGAAAAGTAACACCGAAGTTTTAAAACGTCTATTGACCGGCTGATAGAGGAAAGATAACGGGGAAAAGAGTCAGCAGTTATTACTGTTACGATATATCTCGAGATTCTCGATGTGGCACAATATGTGGACTTGTACGCAGGTCACTAACGGGACTGAAGTATCACATACGACACAGACAAAACTGAATCAGATTATCGAGTCCTCATATGTCGAAATCATCGACGGGAGAGTACGTTATATATATATATATATATATTTTATACATTATTTTTATAGATATAAATATTTAAGTAAATGCTCTGTTTATAATAAACAGTATTAAACAACATTTACCAGCCTGAATATCCGAGAAATTTTCATAGAAAATATTCGTCCCCCGACAGAAATCGAACCTGTATTCTATACGGAACCATCATATTGCCTGACGTGCCTTTAACCGATTGGGCCACAGAGGATCGTTCGGTTAGCAAGATAGAATTTACTGCTTTTAAACTTCAGTCATCCACCTCTGTGGCCGAATCGGTTAAGGCACGTCAGGCTATATGACGGTTCCGTATAGGATACAGTTTCGATTCCTGTCGGAGGACGAATATTTTCTATGAAAATTTCTCGGACATTCAAGGCGGTAAATCTTGTTTAATACTGTTTATTATAAACAGAGCCTTTATTTAAATATTTGTATCTATAAAAAGAATGTATAAACATAAGATCTTAAAATAATTGTCGGACTTTGTCCATTTCATAAAATATATATATCCCATACTTAATACTTCTCGTTTTCACTCTCGCGTGGTCATGTGTGACGTCACAAGCTGCGATGCGATTTTCGCTTCCGCGTCTCGTATACACCAGTTAGTCGTTGCTTTGAAATTTTGCATGCAACAAAAACAGATTATTGTTTCGTCCGTGTGTTGTTCTATATATTGAAATGTAATTGTCATCTTTGATAATGGCTTATGTAAGCCGAAAGCTTAGATCGGATTTAAATATGTATCAATATGGTAATTTCCTTTCGTCTTTCAATGATATTAAGTTTATCAGACAATATAAAAGGAACTTACTCAAAACAAACAGACGAACCATGTCTATATTATTTAATGAAAATAAATTATATATATATATATATATATATATATATATATATATATATATATATATATATATATATACAGACTAACAATTTTAAAATCTAAACTTTTTTACCTATATATCTTTTTGTCCGTATAAGTTATATTTTAATAGTATGTTTGAATTCGTTTAATAACACTTTCAAATTTGAATAGTTCTTGGTGTGTATATGTGCATCTCTTTATCAATGTATGTGTGTTTAATCGCTTACATGTGCCATTCATTGTATGTATATGTTGTCGTTTTTTTTTATTTTTAGGGCCGTAGACACCTATTTCCTCTTTCGTCGCTTTTTTGCGTGTTTATATATCTAAATATGTTAACGTGTTTGTGCATTATAATCTGATTGTGTATGTATTGTCTTTTACAAGATTTCACCCTCCCCTTGCCCATATTATCACTTCAAATGTATTTAAGTTGTAACGAAGTTCAGAGCAACATTAGATTTTAACGTTTATTCTAACTGAATTTTTGACGTTTTATTTCAAACATATTTCGTTAAACATACACAAGGAAAATTTGATTTAATTTTTATTGAGTTTTTCTAATATTTTTAAAAAATTCTCTTTGGTGAGTATAAAAGAATATAAAATTATACGTAGTGTCTATTCGCCCACTTATTTAGGGGTTTCTTGTTGAGTATTGTTACCCTCTTTTCATGGTTGTTTGTTTCTGATGTAGTTCAGTGATGCCTATATATTGGTAGAAGTTATTCTGCGAAAGGAAAGTGACGGCAATTCATGTTGGCATCTTTATAGTTAAAACTACAAACAAAAACGCATAATTTCCGTTGCTGAATAAGTTGAGATTAACACTGGGTGCAAGATGTTTTATATAGAGGGCTTCTCTGACAGCGATATATTTTCGTTTACGATCATGTTATCAACCTTGTGGGTGGCTAAATGCCTTTTTATGGCAATTTAGTCTGGTAAGTGATATATACACACACACACACACACACATATATATATATATATATGTATGTTTGAAAGAAAAGGTTTAAAATTCAGTTAGAATAAACGTTAAAATCTAATGTTCCTAGTAGACGGTATCCTCGAATAACATATATATATATATATATATATATATATATATATATATATATATATATATATATATATATATATATATATATATATATATATATATATATATATATATATATATATATATATATATATATATATATATATATATATATAATCTCTCACACACACACATATATATAATATAAAAGTAATCACAATCCAATTCATCAGACCTACAAATTAAAAAAAATTACAAACTATAAATTATAAATATGTATTAAGTTTAGAATATTACATATATCTATATATATCATCTCTCTCTCTCTATATATATATATATATATATATATATATATATATATATATATATATATATATATTATTACTATTCTTAGCCAAGTGCTAATTTATCCTATAAATTCGACGCTGATGTGAAATGTGTCAATCAACACTACAAACATTAGGCACAAAAATGTATGCAAAAGTACATATACATATATGCATAAACACATACACACAACCAAAAAGATATCTATAAAGAAAATATATAGATACACAAACGTAAACACCCACATACAAACATATATAAAGACATAAAAAAACTAATAGAAACACATGCATAAATAAATGCACCTAGAAAAATACACCCATGTAAAAAAGAAGTAGAAGCCAATATAGTAACATACAAACAAACATCCTTACCAAGTTAACCAAGAGTCCATGTAAGATTGATTCATAAAGAATTACACCTATTTAATATCAACTTAATAATCTACGTTATGTTAAATCATTAGCAAATAAGAGGAGATAATATTTAAAGACTATGACCCAGTAAATATATATATATATATATATATATATAGTCGTAATACAAACTTATAGCATAATTCCATTGTCACACATAATGATATTTCAACCCGGATTGCAAAAAAATGGCGAGCTATGTCTGCAGTTAACAGTGGGTTCATTCCTTTGATTTAATAGGTTAATCTTGTCCTTAAATTTAACGATTTCCAATTTTTCATTGCGACAAAGATAAAATGCTGCATATAAAGTTCGAGTTCTTCTAATTAATTTCCATTTAACCGTAGTTTTGTCTTTCTTTTTTAAACTCCATAAGTACTTGGACAACGAAGTACTGTGTTTATGAGAACTATTTTTAAAGGAAAATACATGTTGATACCAACGTATTTTAAACGTATTTTAGTACTTCCAATGTAATTTTTTTTAATATTCAGGTTATGTAGAAATCGTACTAAGATAAACTAGGGAACTAGCTTTGCAATTATTTAAGTATCACTATTATTATACTTAGTATTATTTAACGCATCAATACAATACGGTATGCCTTATATATAGGCATATATATATATATATATATATATATATATATATATATATATATATATATATATATATAGATAGATAGATAGATAAAACGAAGAAAAAAAGCAGAATAGAAAAAGAATAGAAAATGAATGCAAAAGTCAACATAGGAGAAGGAAAGGAAATCGAACAATGAAATAATAACTGAGACTGATGAAAGAAAAATAAGAAGAAGAAAAATAAATGAGAGGCAACTAAAAGAAAGAAAAAAGAAAGAAAGAAAGAAAAAAGAAAAAAAGAAGAATGAATGAGCAAATGAAATAAACAAAAGAAGAAAGAAAAAAGAGAAAAATGAATGATCAAATGAAATAAATCAATAAAGAAAGAAAGAAAAAAAAGAAAAAGAAGTAAGAAAGTTGCTTTGTGTGCCTCAGCGGAGAATGTCTCCTGGCGAGCGAGTCTCTTCAGAGAAATCTCATCTCCTTCAGACAGATCTGTTCTTAACTCGTGAACTTCAGGGTCACCATTGGCATCCAATGTACGGACCTAAGATGGCCGACCAGCGTATATCTGGCTTCAATAGTTGCTTTTATTTACTCTGCAGACAGACAGCTTTCTGATGATTCGTCCAGTTCTTTACTCTGTGTCGTCTTTCATGAATGTCCACCACCTTCCACTCGGGGGCCCCGAGAAGTCGGGTTGAAGAAGTAACAACCGACCGACATTCGTAGAATAATAAAGACCTCATTTTAGGACGGCAACTCGTGTCTTCTATCTTATAATTTCGGGTCTTCATTTATAAAAGAGTTCCACTCTAAAGATTACGAAGTGGGCGGGGGAGAGAAATTGACGCGTATTATGAGATACGAACAAAAATGACTGTCTTTCTCATCTTTGTTTCTTTCTTTTTTCTTTCTTTCTTTCTTTTTTTCTTTCTTTCTTTCTCATTCTGTTCATATCTATCTATCTATCTATCTATCTATCTATCTATCTTATTCTGTTTCTATCTATCTTTCTTTTTTATCTCATTCCGTTTCTATCTTTCTTTCTTTTTATCTCAGTCCTTTTCTATCTTTTTCTTTCTTTCTTTTTATCTCAGTCTCTTTCTTTCTTTATTTCTTTCTTTCTTTTTATTTCAGCTCCTTTCTTTCTTTCTTTTTTCTCATTCTGTTCATATCTATCTATCTATCTATCTATCTATCTATCTATCTATCTATCTATCTTATTCTGTTAATTTCTATCTATCTTTCTTTTTCATCTCAGTCCGTTTCTATCTTTGTTTCTTTCTTTCTTTCTATCTCAGTCCGTTTCTTTATTTCTTTCTTTCTTTTTATTTCAGTTCGTTTCTTTCTTTCTTTTTTCTCATTCTGTTCATATCATCTATCTATCTATCTATCTATCTATCTATCTATCTATCTATCTATCTATCTTATTCTGTTCATTTCTACCTATCTTTCTTTCTTTCTTTCTTTTTATCTCAGTCCGTTGCTATCTATCTTTCTTTTTATCTCAGTCCGTTTCTTTCTTTCTTTCTTTCTTTCTTTCTTTCTTTCTTTCTTTCTTTCTTTCTTTCTTTCTCATTCTGTTCACATCTATCTATCTATCTATCTATCTATCTATCTATCTATCTATCATTAATATAAATATAAAATTTGTCAGCTTATTGATGTTACCTTCATCATCACAACTCTGTAGTTTCGGAGATGGACTCTCCAGAAATCACTCCGTCCACTCGTGTGTGTGTAAAAATTCAGATATAATATATCTGTAAATGGATAAATTGAATAGAGACAAAATGGCGCCTTTTGTCATCTCAGGGACTTCATGAAGACAAATGCAAGGATTTTATTTTATAACACGTATTTATATACAAGAGCAAAAGTATTATTGTTTTTTGAAAATTTTTAAATATAAGAACGCTCGTAAATGTGATCAGGTTAGCTGGAATTTCAGGCAAGCTATGGAGGACGCGAAATGACATAATTTAATATCTAATAAACCAAAGTGAGTAAGGGATTTTCTTGAAATTGTCCAAAATCCTTTAAAACCAAAATTGTCCAATTGTTAGATTATGCACTGAACCGTTGTATCATAGAAATGATTAAAGATATCTTACTGGAATTCTCCGAAGTTTTTATAACACTATTGGACTCTACTTTGAACTGTAAGAATGTATTTAGCTCTAAGTTGAAATGATGATCGCTCTTTCTCTTGTGACCTCCTGATCCATGTTTCCTTTCTACTGTTCCTTCTTTTAAAACTTATTCACCGTTCTCTTAATGGTTCTTGAATGGACTTTGAAGATGGAAGCCAGAGTACCATTACTGAAGGCCTGAATGACCCTTTTCCTCTCACCATTGCTCAGTTGGTAAGACATAGTGGGGCTGACGCAAAATGATTTTAACCTGTTCTCTCTCTTTCTAACTGAATAACTCAAAGGGTTTTTCAGTGTTTCTTACAACAAATGGTGTCAAGATGGCTAAACGTCATGGAAAAAAGAAATTCAATTAGTTTAGAGTTTTTTTTTTAGATATTAAACTTTGTGTGGGATGGACAATTATCCCGTGCTGTCACACGATTTGGACAATTTTGCTGTGTCACACACACACACACACACACACACACACACACACATATATATATATATATATATACATATATATTTACACTTGTAAAAAAAGAATTCGTGGATTTACCATATTACAAAATTCATATAAAATTTCTCACTTGAAATTTTGAACTTTAGCGTTGCGACTCGCACCTTCCGAGATTGTACAACCGTCAATAAATAGCACATTCTTAAAAAAAAACATCTTTCGGTCTACAAACAATTATTTCGTCTTCAAGTTTTAAATTTAAAGGAAAAAAAATTACAGCCTGAGGATGGAGACATGGATCTTCGAAAGTACTTGCTTAACTTAAAAAAATATACACTAGAAACATCTGACAACAGTTTTAAAAATAAGGATCAAATCATTCAATGGATTAACAGTATTTTAATGCATACATTATATTCTACTAGCGAAGTGATTTCGCCATAAATCACATTAATATTGCTGATTGATTCTATATATGATTATTTCTTTATATATAATATAATATATATATGTATGTATGTATATATAAGACATCTTCTTTCGTTCTTTTATATACACTCTTTGTGCAAATCAATTAAAACGAAACGAATAATTCCATTATTATTTACTTTATTCATATTTTTCCAATCAAATATGTGCACACGTTAGTACTTCGTATGTCCATTCCATGAAGTCGTTCCTTGCAGATTGACCCCAGATTCTCGATTGAATTTAAATCAGGAGAGTTTCTGAGCCAGTCTTTGATTTGCTCACTGGTAAGGCTTGCTTGTGGGTTCGTGCAGCGTTACAATTTTCGTACGCTTTTCTTGGAGTAACGTCCATCGCAGACAATGGCCGCAGGACAACTAATTGACAGTCGAGACAATAGTGTCTGGGTGTGATAAAAATCTGATGCAATCACGAATGACGCAATATTTTTCAAGGCCAAACTAATTTCATCATTTGCCCCGAAAACAGATTCATATTACTGCAAACCACAAAAAATAACCTAATCTGAGAAAAAAATAGAAATCGATTATGCACTATCAATCCAGTGGATCTAAATCTGTCCATATGGTGAAAGAAAGGAATCTAAAGCGGTTGTTGCAATTAATTTGCACAAGCGTATATATATATATATATATATATATATATATATATAAGTGAACATAGAAGTCAACACTTAGAGGCGACAGTCTGTTTCATACTAGATGCAATCGTCAGGCCACGGATCAGTGGTGCATTGTGGATAGTCTATTTTGGCGGTTATTTTACCGGAAGTCGTTTATTTATTTATTTATTTGGGTTAAATTATTTTGCTTGTTTTTATTTATTTTTATTTTTTATTTTTATTTTTTATTTTTGTTTCTTATCTTATATATTTATTTATTTATTATTTTTGTTTTAATCGGTGTTTTTATTACCGTAGTAAAAATTTGTTTATATCGCTTATTTCATAGTTTTGTTTTGGTTTGGGAAGATAAAGCTATTTATTCAATTTTGGGGTTGATTGTTGTAGTTTATTCTAACTATTATTTTGGCGGGAACAGTTTTTGTTTATTTATTTATTTTTATTTTATTTTTTCCGTTTTCGATTTTTAAGTAACGTAGTAAATATTTGTTTTCATGTCTGCATTTTGAGATGAGCTCGGATCTTTTATTTAATAATTTATTTTGGTCTGGGAAAGTAATGATAGCTATTTTTTCCTCCAAGCAAAAGTTTTTTTATTGGTTGTTGTAGGCTGATGATCTTTTCCTTATTTTCTAAGATATTTTTGTGTGACGTGCGTTTTGTTTTTAATTTCCCAGATATACTTAGAAAGCATTGTGCTGTTCGCATATTTACTATTTGTGAAAGATGTTTTGTGTGTATAATTTCTTTGTTTACAGGGTCCTTCAGTTACTCCTATGTATACTTTTTCTTCATTATCTGGTGATTTTATCGTGGCTTGGTATATTACGTTATTTTGTAAACAATTACCGTTTAAGGGATATTCGTTCTTTATTCTGCAGTTGTACGTGGGTTTAATTTGTTCGTGTGGTTTGTTGATAATTTTCCTGTTGTGCTTTTTTAATATTCGTGACATGTACTCGGTGAAACTGTAGCTGATTTTTACTGTGTTTTTGTTGAATATTTTTTGTAGGGTGCTTGATTCAGGGAGTATGTGAGTGTTGCTGGGAATCCGCTATATTTTAGGGCTGTTTCGTAGTCTTTCTGAGCTTTGTTAAATATGGATTCATTGGAGAAATTGTCGGAAAGCCTGCGGTTAATCGATTTTGGTATCTGTTTGATTATAGAAGGCTGGTGATTGGAAGATGTGTGTATATAGAGTGGTTTATCATTGGGTTTTCTATATGGTTTATATGTGCCTTTTCTTAGGTTGAAGGTAACATCTAGAAAATCTACTTCGTTTAGGTTAGTTTTTATATCGATGTCGAATCCGTTATTTTAAAAAATCCTTATTATTGCTTTTCTAGTTTTGTCTGTGTTTTGTTTGTTACAGTTTCTTAAGATTATGAGACAGTCGTCCCTGTAGAGTCCTGTGTCATTTCTATCTATTAGTTTGCTTAGTTCGTGTAGTAAGTAAATACCTATTATTTCTCATGTCTCTGCACCGTCAAAGCCGAGAAAAATAACAGCACTCGTGACCTGACGATTGCATCTAGCATGAAACAGAATATATATATATATATATATATATATATATATATAAATAAATTGTGTATGTGTATGAGAGAGAGAGAGGGGGAAAGATATGATATAATATATATGTGTGTGTGTGCATGTGTGTGTGTATCTGTGTGTGCGGATGGAGAGAGAAAGATATAATATATATATATATATCTTTGATACATGATATTATATAATATATATATATATATATATATATCATATCTTTCTCTTTCCCTCTCTCACAGACACATACATACACACACACGCACACACACATATATATATATCATATCTTTCCATCTCTCTCTCTCACACACACAAACCCACAGACACACACATATCAATGTTTGTGTGTGTGTGTGTGTGTGAATGACTGAGAGAGAGAAAGATATGATATAATATATATATGTATATATATATATATATATATATATATATATATAGAGAGAGAGAGAGAGAGAGAAAGATAAATAGATAGATAGATACATAGATAGATATAAGATTGATAGTGTACGTAAGCGAATAGTAAGATGATAAAATGAAACGCGACCCCAATATTTTCCATTTTGTCTTTTAACACACACATATATATATATATATATATATATATATATATATATATATATATAGTACACTCAAGAGGTTTTGAGACTTGTATCAGAGAGATATTTATTTACCTGATATCAACACAAAAGTCTAGTTTCCTTCAAATTAAATTCCTACAACGTCAATGAACTTCTATTATTCCAGCTACAACTGGTACATCACCTTGTCGTCCAATTAACTGAACGTGTCCAGGGCGCTTTTCACAGCGTATTTCATCTCCTCTATATCCTCAAAGCGTACCCCTGAACTTCTTCATCTTCGGGAACATCCAGAAGTCGCATGGGGCTTAGTTCGGACTGTAATTACAGTTTGGGATAATCTTGATCCACATATCGGCCAGATAGTTGATCACTAGGATGGATCTGTGGCAAGGGTCATTGTCCTGGTGCAGGTGTCACTGACAGGACATTCTGGCCTCTTTCGACGAATGAACTGACTCTACATAGTACTCTTTGTATGACCGTGGGGGTCCCAGTGGACGTAGATCATCCTATTGCTGTGATCGTCATGATCTTCCCAGTGGATCTAATTTGTCTGTTCTTGGGTCTTGGCGTGTCAGAATGTTTTTACTGGGCACACTGTCTCTTGGTCTGTTGATCATAATAGTGGCTCTCATCACAGGTTACCAGTAACGCAAGGACAGTTGGATTCGAAGCGATCCACTAGACCATCTCCCCACTGTCATCAACATACCACTGCATTTGATCTTCATCGAGCATCTTGGAAACAAATTTTGCGCATGTTCAGATCGTCATGGATGATTGTGTACAGTACCCTCTGCCAATTCAGAAATCGCCAGAAGATGAGATGCACGACGGTCCTCTTACAGACATTGCGAATTTTGTCGACCAACCTGATGTCCCTCATCCGGCCTCATTTCTCGTCGTCCCTCTCTTGCTCCTTGACCTCCTGCAACCTCTGGTGTCAGCGGAAAACAGTCGTCCTGCTCGTGAAAGTTAGTCCGTAAGCAGTTTCGAGATTTTTCTGTTTCTGCAGCGTTTTTCTGCCGAGCTAGACACAAAATTTTACTGCATATCGAGCCTCCAAGTTATCCTCACGTCCCGACTGCAATGTGGAACCAGTCAGCTGTGACAAGACGTGTATGACGTGCAGTGTTTAAGATGCAATAGCGGCCCGAATCTTCAACATGGAAAAAAAGATTTAGTATCTTAGATCATTATAACCATTAAAAGAATGTTTTAGAGTGACAGTTACGTAAGTTAAAAGTGCCTGGAAATAAAAAGTCTCAAAATTCCTTGAGTGTACGGCGTACATATATATATATATATATATATATATATATATATATATATATGTGGTACATATATATATATACATATATATATATGTGTACATATATATATATATGTGAAAATATATATAAAATAGGAAAGAACTGGTTAAGTAAATAATCCAAAGTTCCTTAGTAATTTAGTTATTTTTTTTAAAAAATAGTGCTCGATACAAAAGTAGAGCATAAATATAATTATTTATTTAAAATATGATTTCAACTCGCGACACTAGAGACCTCTTGTGTCGCGAGTTGGAATCATATTTTTAAATAAATATTTATATATATATATATATATATATATATATATATTCGGTCAGAGCTATCGACGATTCCCAAGGGTTACTTCTACCCAATTTTACTCACAGATTATATATTGGAATATGGTGTGATTCGAACGCAAATCGGCCATGGTCAGAAAGCGAACGTTCTATCTATCTATCTATCTATGTTGTATATATATATATATATATATATATATATATATATATATATAGATTGTGGCTCCACACTGATGACCTGTGATACAGCGAAACACACTGTTTGTGGATAAGTATATATATATATATATATATATATATATATATATATATATATATATATATATATTATTAGTTATCAATATATATATATATATATATATATATATATATATTTACAAGAGGATGGAAATTTGTGGGTCTGATGAATTGGATCGTGATTACGACTCCAATATAATAAATTATAACCACGGAATATTAGTGTTTGAGCCTTCTCTCTCTCTCTCTCTCTCTCTCTATATATATATATATATATATATATATATATATATATATATACAATCTGCAAGAACTCGTAATTAAAATTCTGGTCTAAAATTCTATATAAATATTACCGGAAACATTTCGCTATGAGTAAGGTCCTGTATATTAAACATCACGCTCCCACTATCAAGCTCACCTTACTTAACAATGGTAATAGTGTTAAAAGTTTAAAAAAATAGAAAACCACTGACACGAATTTCATCCATGTTCATCTGTGTTCAATACGCAAAAGCTCGGGATAAACGCTCCTACAAGTTTTCTAAACAACACAACAATATAATACATGTTAAACAGTCAAAACATGAAGAGAAATTCACAACACACAGTTACCGTCTTGAAAATGGCTGAAGAAGCGGACAAAACCGGTTGGGACAATGGTCAGTTTTTGTACAGCTTTACTCCCACCAAACGGAAAAATGTAAGAACGCTGGAAAAACTAAATAAAGAAACTAATTAAGTACTCCTTGTCTGTCATATTTAATGAAAGGTGTTTGAAAGAAAGATTGCTTCTCAAATACACATACACACCACATACATACATACATACATACATACATGCATATATGTTTTAAACGTGCCATCAGGCGAACTAATACAATTCATCGTGGTTCTGTATACAACGCAGTCTGTCAAACATGGCCCATTTAAGGGACCATTTTCACTTTATATATATATATATATATATATATATGCATATATATATATTATATATATATATATTATATATATATAATATATATATACACATGCATATATATATATATATATATATGCATATATATATTATATATATATAATATATATATATATACACAGGCATATATATATATATATATATATATATATATATATATATATCGATGCGATGAGAACGAAAGTAATATATAAATTCCAACGTTCACAGCATTAATCCAAAAGAGGGCTCGATACCGATAGTAGAACGATAATTATTTATTGCACTGAAACGAAGTTGAATCTTTGTAGTGAGTAAAATGGTTTTGTCTATATGATAATATTATATATATATATATATATATATATATATATATATATGTATTTTAAACGTTTCACCCCAAGCAAGGCGGGTAGCCACTACCACGCAAGACGTTACAGAGAGTTGGAGCGAGAACAAAGACGAGTGATAGAAGAAAGGATGAAGAGAATGATAGGGAATAGATCAGGGCATCTGGAGATGTCGATTGACATTACATTTGAATAGTAGGAGGTTATATCTCTCAGGGAAACAAGAAAAGGGAAGAGAGTTCCACGGGCGAGAAGTGCGTGACATGAAGCTATTGGAGTAGAAGAGACGGCTGGGAGTGAGTGAAAGCAGCTTCACAGATTCGCTAATTAGCATAATGAAAAAAATTTCCCAGACACTTAATACAAAGAAAGATTTTATCGTAAAAATGATTATGTTATTACGAGGAAACACCGCAAGATTTTTCGATTATTAAATCATATTTTTGGGTCATTTTTAAAAGATTCAAAGTTTTGGATAAAAATCTTGATTTGTCTTCCTTCATCGGCGGGACGCAGGATTAGGGTAAGAAATTTTAATGTCTTTTTAGCGGTGAAAATCACATTGATTTGGGAATACTTGCAAAAATGAAATAATTGTTAGATTTTAATGAAACTTTCAGGACTTCTTCACAAACGAATGAAATTATTTCAGAAATATTTCTTTTTTAGAAAATCAGGCTAAAACATGTTTTTTACATCTGTTATCGACCCACATTTAATTTTATGAAATTTCGAGAAATTAATTTTTGTACGGCTTAATGTTTATATTAATTATACGCATAACTCCTTGGAGAAATTAAATCCTGAATTTCTTATATGAAACAGGAAGCCCACTTACCAAAAATCTGCTCTGAATCGTAAAATAAAAATGCAATAAAAGACATTATTTAATTAAAAAAAGCTTTGAATTACTTTTATTAATAAGATATGTATATGGACACTGTTGCCTTATGAAAAACATTTCGATGAATAATGAATATTTAACAGAATTAATTTCACGTCTTAAAATTTTAATTAGTATAATTTATGAAGTTTTGAACATTTTAAATTTCTGTCTGAATTTGCAGAGGTTAGGTGATATTGTTATTCGGTAAAAATAAGTACTACCATAAATGGAAAAGCTTACCAGAATTCAGCGTCCCACAATAAAATTATTCAATAGTGATTATTGAAATTAAAATAACTGATCCAAATGCAACTTTTGGATAATAAGTGCGACATTACTGTAATTATTGAACAATAAAGTTCATGCCACTTTGACAGAAAATTTACCAGTAAAAAAGAATTCACTTATCACCATATTTGTATAAGAACGCACAATTGTAAAATTTAAATTCAAACTCAGCGTTGCGACAGCACGCTCCAAAAAACAATAACTCATTTCTCATAGCATTTTCGGATTACAACAGTACATATATTTTCGTTGTCCTCTTATTACTGAGAGAAAAAAACAAGAACAAAATCTATTCCATACCTGAGGATGTCTGTAAGAACAGACGAAAGCTTGTAAAAATAATAAGAACTCATGCAACAGAAATTTATAGAAACAAGGATCTTTAAACAGGTTCGGGGTTTTTGTATATTATTTGAATTGTTCGCGACGATGGATTTCTCGCCAATTAAATCATTAACCTTTGTATTTGTTTTTGTATGAATAATTCATGAATTTGTAAATTAATTGCACCTTTATTGAAAATATATATATATATATATATATATATATATATATATATATATATATAAAACCCTCTTTCCGTATAAATATAGCAAATTTAGAAAAAGAAGATACATACATATAATGTATAATTTGACAACTTTCACTATAGAATTAAAAATTATCAGATTCGGATCAAGTCGGTTCCCCACGAAAGATTATTACCTGCAGAACAACAATACCGCGTAGAAAAACATCATTTTTAAAGCCATGCAAAATTTACTAGAAAAACATATATATATATATATATATATATATATATATATATATATATATATGAGAACCAAAGAGACCTCACAAAAACAACTTAGCTAATGCACTAGTCGTACATAGAAATAAATTCAACCACAATTTTGATATAAAAAATGGTACACTTATAAAAAAGAAGAAAATAACTCTCTCAGAAGGAAAATCCTCGAGAGTGCTGCCATTGAATATTACCCAAATATTAATCTACGCCCAGGCTTTTTTTCCTTTTTTTCCCTATTTCACCTTTCTTAACAGAATTACTACTCTCCCAAATAAACGTACAGAACAGTATCAAGAAATCAAAAGAAATGCATAAATCCGTCAACACAGCAATAAAAACAATATCTCCACACATGAAAGTAATTGACATACTTTTCAGTTAACAGTATGAAAATAGCGTTCTCTAAATTCTTCCAGTTGCTAAGGACATTTTGTTTTGCTATTATTAGTTATTTTTTTTAATAAATTCATTTTGTTTTTGCTTTGAAAAAGTCCACATCGGACGAAAGGCGTCGGAAACTATTACAGTTTTCCTATTGTCTTTTACATTTATATATATATATATATATATATATATATATATATATATATATATATATATAAAAGAAATATAGTCTTAAGGTGTGCTATATTTACGGGATAAAGTGCTCAATATCAGAGATAGAGCGTGTGTAAATATAAAAGTGAACATAAAGTCAACACTTAGAGGCGACATTCTGTTTCATGCTAGACGCAATCGTCAGGCCACCTAATGCACTCGTCATGCATAGAAATAAATTCAACCACAATTTTGATATTAAAAATGCATATGGCCTGACGATTGCGTCTAGCATGAAACAGACTGTCGCCTCTAAGTGTTGACTTCTATGTTCACTTTTATATATATATATATATATATACACACACATATATATATATATATATATATATATATATATAGTTTAAAACTTAATATTTATAGGGGACGATTCCTCAATATCAGAAAACGTATTTAGAGATATAGGCAGCATGGTGATAGGAATGAACACTGTATGGTGACGATCCTCATAATATGCACCACTTACACCTTCCTTGTAATCCTTTATAACAGCCTCATTCAGTAAGCCTGAGTCATTCTGGTGTATTGTACTGTGTTTGTGCAAGAGTACAAATTAAATTCGTTCAACAGAACTTTTCATATGATGATTAAAAAATGAAATGTTTAACTACGAAATGTGTAATTTACTAAACTTTTTTGCGAAGGTTCATTTTGAACCGTGCCGGTGATGTACAGTAAAAGAATAATAGCAATTAGTAGCGTAAAAGAAACAGAAATTTATATATCCATGTAGCCATATAGGTAATTGTAAAGATCGTTTTATAGTTTATCTATCTATCTATCTATCTATCTATCTATCTATCAAATTGAGCTTCACTATCTCTATATATAATTGTGCTCCTATCTATCTATCTATCTATCTATCTATCTATCTATCTATCTATTGTTCATATGTATCTATCTACTGATCATATCTATTTATCAATCCATCTATCTATCTACTATTCATATGTATGTATGTATGTATGTATGTATATATATATCTAGGCTTGTATGTAGGGCTTTTGCGTGCTAGCCTTGTTCAAATTGTTGATCACGCCAGATAACACGCTCTCTCACAGAAAATATAACTAAGGTCTTCTTCTGGGCCTTGTGGGTATTGAATAAAGACAATAAGGATTGGTTAGCCGCCCTAGTAGTCGGGTATGCTCGAATGCGAGTAGCCATCTATCTATCTATCTATCTATCTATCTATCTATCTATCTATCTATCAAATTATCGTCTCTATAAATGTGTTTATCTATCTATCTATCTATCTATCTATCTATCGTTCAAATGTGTTTATCGACTGTTCATATCTATCTATCGTTCAAATGTATCTCTCAATTATTTATACTTATCTGTCTATCTATCAGTCTATCTATCTACTTATTGTTCATGTGTATTTATTAACAGTTCATATCTATCTATCTATCTATCTATCTATCTATCTATCTATCAAATTGAACTTCACTGTCTATATATATATAATTGTGCTCCTATCTATCTATCTATTGTTCATCCATATTGATTTAAATTTTTCTGATATTCGCCAGTTACCATTACTTCTCTTTGTAAACTCTCCTTCTTTCTTTTTTTCTTTCTTTTTTTCTTTCTTTTTTTCTTTCTTTTTTCCTTCTTTCTTTCTTTCTTTCTTTCTTTCTTTCTTTCAATCAATCAATCAATTCCTGTGTCTGTATTCACAATCAACATCCATCCCCATTAAACACATCGTCCATCCATTCAACGATCAATCCAATATTCTTTCCGGCCAGTACAGTAGAGCGCTGACCCATTTTCTCGCCACCCACCCTAATCCCAGTCTCCACCAGTCCCCGATGTCCCTAGGATGATCGCTGACGATGAATGCGATGACCGTTGTCCAGTGAAGGCTAATTGCAGCCAAGCACTAACACAATTTGATGGATCGCAGGTGGTCAAGACCAGCTTGCAATCTATTTCGTCTTCCCATTGCTTCCAGGGATTGGATTGGACGGGTAAACTGCGTGAAATAAAAACCGACCTTCTCGCCAAAATTGGTCCGGGGATAAGGAATGAATGGCGGCGCTTCTCGTAGAGACTGAGAGGGCCTGCTCGCTTTCGGATTTTGCTTAAATTAGGCGCGTTTATAATGGCACGCGGTTGCATTTTGGTGTGCAGGTGTACGAAGCATATAAGTACGGATAATTGCTATGCGAAGTCAGTTTTGCTTCAAGGCCAAACTCGGGGTTGAAACCGGGGGTGATATTAATCACTAACAATGGATGGTGATATGCCAAATGTAAACAGCGAACCACGAGGTATTGGCGTGCTCCACATCACATCATTATATATATATATATATATATATATATATATATATATATATATATATATACTCTTAAGGGTGCTATATTTATGAAATAAAGTGCTCAATATCAGAGATAGAGCGTGTGTATAAAAGTGAACACTGAAGTCAACACTTACAGGCGACTGGCTGTTTCATGCTAGATGCAATCGTCAGTCCACCGATATATATATATATATATATTGTCATCCACAGACCGTTTCGCTGTATCACAGCTCATCATTGTGGCTAGACGTCCAGGTTGCCTCTAGCTTGGGTTGAAACCCGACTGAATTGGCGTCTGTCGGGGATTATATCACTAAGCCGACGATGAAGGTGAATTTTTTTTAGATAAACACGGATTTTTTAGATAGGGATGAAGGTGAAATACACAGTGACTGAGAGAACTCGATTCAATTTACCAAAATGTCTTGCATTTTTAGCCGTAATAGCCGCTGTTTACAAACCCACACTTCCTCCCCAGGAATATATATATTAAGATATTTTTGTGTTTATACATTCTGCCTTAACCGGGTATTGAACTCACACTCGTTGGGGCCTCAAGGACACATGGCACAGTGGATAAAGGCGTTGGTTTGATTCAGTGACAGGACCCAAAGAGTTCAATACCCGGTTAAGGCAGTGGAGAACTTTGAGAGGGGAATTATCAGGACATAACCGATAACTGACATCCATTAAACATGGCACGTGGAACTAGAACAGTCTACCCCAGTGAGCGAAATAAAAGGTTCAGTTTGACATTCCAACCACCTGAAGAAGGCCGGAGTGTACAACGGCCAAAATGTTGTAATAAATATGGCGACAATGATGAGGACATAGTCCGAATAATGTAAATAGTGTACTCATGGTCTTTTTAGGTTACGTCAGTAAAAACCATATTTCTATCGCTTCAAGTCTTTTCTTCATCTTTAAGGAATTTTCCAAAAATTCTTCGTTATATAGGATATCATGCTGACTCTTTTAAATCCAACTTCAACATGGGTAAAAAACGGAAATGTTTAACAAAAAATGTGTCAAAAAAGAAATACAAAACAACAAAAAAAAAAAAACCAAACTGTATCACAGGAATTGGTTTAAGGAAACAAAATGGTGAAGGTCGTTTGTCCTAAAGTCGTTAAATGAATGCCGTTTATTTTTATTTTTATTTTATAGAACTCTCAGATGAATATTTCCTGCAAAATCTAATTTTCCTTTGAATTGTGTATCCTCCTCCCCCCATTCTCTTATAAAGAAAATAAATATTCCTTCCGAAAGAATTATAATTCGAACACAATTAACATGATGTGTTTTTCAAATAATTCTCCTCCTAATTAATCACTAGATTGGATTTCTTTGGTTATCAGGAAACTCAGAATATGCATTTATAGTGCGCACGCGCGAGCGCGCGCACACACGCACACACATAGGATGCGATGTATAAATTGTCGTCTAAATTAAGCAAAAATAAAAATAACGTTGACATCTCATTTTAGCAGATATACAGTGTGTCCATAAAGTTCGTGTGCACTTTAAAAAAATTCTAACTTCATTTGTATTTGCGATAGAAATAATCTGTAAAAAATGTTATAAAGTTTAATGTACCTAGTTTTAAGTATAGCTAAAATAACTAATGTGATTTCAAGCATTACTCTAAATCAGTTGGCAAATGTTTTCCGTGAACTGCAAACTCGTATTACCCTTTGTATTGCTAATGATGGAGGACATGTGGAAACTTAAATAAAATTTCAATAAAACCTTAAAAAATATAGATTTACTTCTTTCTAAACATTTTTACAGATTATTTCTATGGCAAATACAAATAAAGTTATAATTTTTTAAAGTGCACACGAACTTAATGGACACCGTGTATTTACCAAAATTATACAAACATGTCTTACAAAAGAGTAAATTTATTGAATAAAAACACTAATGGCTTCAACCACGGCCTCCAGACGACTTCGGAATCTCTTCTTGTTGAAAAATCCTTGGTTGTTATAGTAAAATATAATAAAGATAGATATTCATAACGGTCTATAATATTTTTTATGCAGGTATGAAAACTGGTTCAACGATTTCACAAGGGTAAAAAGGTTGAGAAACGCTGGTTTAGACATTTCTGAACAAGATGGACGCCATGCATAGCATCCATATGGCAGAAGATATCTGACGAGGCTATTTAAAAAATGACTCGAGTTTTCAGCTTAATTTTGCTTTTGTAGCTCATTGCGATGTTTCAACGTGCAGTCTCTTGGGAATTCGTGAGAAACAGTGACATTTTTGACATTTTTCTGCCATTTCTGTTTAATTGTATATTCGTCATTTTAATATAAACGGAAGCCATATTGTTGGAAAATCTTTGTTTATTATACAAAATTATAATGACTTGTTTTAGTTGATAATTTTACGGTTTTCCCATTTGAAATTTCCGATGAATCTTAATCCCTTGAGAACTTTCAACAGTATCAACATCTAAAATGGATATTACATGTAACTCGAAGAGAAAATAATGACATAATAAAGATGTTGATATTCCACACTAGTTCAAACAAAAGGTTAGGAAGGAAACTCCAAACAATACTGGAAAGAATGATAACAGTAGACTTCAGTCAGTTACGTGCCATGCGTCAATACATGACTGACGAGGCAGATTTTTCCCCGCAGTAGGTTGCCATTTCTTTCTGCGGTAGACCAGTTGCCATCCAGGTCTATAGAACTCGGTCTGTCCTGCTATTTATCCATAGCTGGGAGGAGAAGAAGAAGATTCATACCTTTCTCAAGGGTATTAGCACGTAAGTAAATGTAATGGATTTGACTGGAATTCGAACTCGGCTCTCCGATTCCTCATTCCGATCCACTATCCATTACTCCACTGCCTTAAGCAGACTGAAGAAACCTATTTTCCTGAAAAATTTTTTTTACGATTTTAACCACTAGCTTTACTGACTGCCAAATGTTTCCTTATAAGGAAACGGCCAATATTAATATTACGACTACCATTTCGCTAATCCAATGTGTGCTCGTATTTCGGTGTCACGTGTTCCATCCTCTGTTAAAATACAAAGACCTTAAATCGGGAGGTCATAGGGAGGTTGCAAACAAGGAGGAGGCTTATACTTAATATCAGGAAGAAGCAGATGAAGTCTCTGGGACACATAATGAGGAAGGAGGGCTTGGAGAATCTGATACTCACTGGTCAAATAGAGGGAAAGAGAAAACAACCCGTGACATACCTGGCGGGCTTAAGCAAGTGGATGACAGAACGTGGTCTGGGGGAAGAGGGAAGGAACTTGTTGAGAGCTACAAAGGATAGAGAGAAGTGGAGAGCCATGATCGCCTACGCCCTGAAAAGACATGGCACATAAAAATAAAAGATTTCAATATTACTAGAAAGACCCGTGAAAGATTCACCATTTTCCTATTGGAATTTTCTGATGAATCTTAATTTTTAAGTTAATGATTGAATAAGCTCAATGCGAATTCTACGATAATGAAAATTATTCGTAAAAGTTCCCCTATCGCCTCGTTAAATATTTGAGCTTAACAACTTGAACAGAATATCGTATTAACAATCTTAAATATGAATGCTGGTCGTTATTTTAAGAAGTAAAAAAAAGATGAAAAGTTTTGAAATTGACAAATTTTTCCATTTCACTGAAATGAACGTAACCACTTCTCACTACCCTTCTTGCTTTCTTTTTCTCACTGAAACCAAGTAGCGTCTTTGATTTCTTTTGTTTTCTCACGTGATTATAATGGAATAGTTCATTATTTTTGAGGTATTGACAAGAAACGTTAAACACATCTATCTTTTTTTCTTTCCTTCACTGAAACCAAGTAGCGTTTTTGATATGTCTTTTGTCTGCTCACGCGATCAAAACGGAATAGGTATTTATGAGGTATTGGCAAGGCGTAACGATCGTGCGAACTAACGAAGGGAGGGGAATGCACAATTATTATATAATATTCGTTATTTATTTATTTATTTTCACACCAAGCAAGGCGGGAAGCCACTAGAACGCAAGGGGTTACAGAGAGTTGGATCTAGAGCAAATAGGAGCGATAGAGGAAAGGATGAAGAGAAGGATAGGGAATAGATCAAGGCATCTGGAGACGTCAATTGACATTACATTTGAATAGTTGGAGATTATAGCTATCAGGGAAACAGGAAAAGGGGAGGGTGTTCCACAGACGAGAGGTGCGAGACATGAAGCTATTGGAGTAGAAGAGACGGCTACATTTAATAGTTTCGACAGTGAAAGGGTGAGAGCAGGATGCCAGCCGAGTTGAACGCTTAAATTCATGAAGTCTGGGAACCAGCGAAAGCAGCTCATCGGATCAGTTACCATGAAAGTATTTGTAAAAAAGACAGAGGGAGGCAACTGTGAGAGAGCGACTGCAGACGAGATGCCAGATCAGGGCCAATTACATTGCATATCCGTCACTGGTTCTTATCAAGAACCTTGAGACAAACAGAAGGGGCTCCAGACCATATATGGCAGCAATATTCCATGCAAGGGCGAATGGTTG